CGTAAAAGGGCCGCCGTCATACAAGTGCATTGCCTTTAATTAACCCAGCAACTCATTCGCAACGATTACAAATGGGCTCGGCCTGACGCGTACACGCGATAGAAGATTAAGGCAGCCTACAGGGCCTCGTTTAAATTCGTAGGGAGACCGTGAAGGCGATGATTTCAATTCGCCATCTTATGCTGACATAATGCATTAGATTATACCCGGACAGTACAATGATGCAATTTTTAATTCTAATAAAAAAAATCCCTGCTGTACGTCCCATGGACTTCACATATTAAATGCATATCTTATTCCTCGCACGTACTATAGCTAGTTCATACCCACTGTTACAATCGACTGGTATATATAGTTCACCAAGTGCACGAGAGTGCGGGGATGCAAAGATGCTGCAGATGCGATGCGGCATGGACTCGCGACTCGGTAATGCCGAAACGATGATTTATACCTCGGGCCAATTAGGACGCAGCCGATTCTAAATCAGTGCAACACGTTTATTCCATTTCATTTCACATACGTCCTCCTGTGGATGTGCGTCTCGGCTCCTTTCTTCTTCTTCTTCTTCGAGGCTTCATCACCTGAGTGGTTTTACGATCTTTACCACCCACACGCGCCTGTCTATAAGCTTATGGATTGCATCCATTGAGATTTCATTTTTATTCACATTTACATAAGTATCGCAATCGACAGTCTACTTGAATAATATCGTAAGCGTTATGCATCTGGTGTGTAGACAATGACGCTAAACGGTCCGCGAGCGTCGGATGCAATTGCTTTTATAAGCGTCGAGACGCGTGGGAAGAGCGTGCAGGAGTTCGCGGGAAATACTTGGCGACACGCGACAGCATTGATGTTCACGAGAGTGAGATCTTCAAAATGATGGGAATGACATTCCATGACTTCCTAGAATATTATCTGTGCTGTGTTTATACTATTTCACTGAATTATAATTAGGCTACTGTTTTTTTTTGTTTCACTTTTCTTTCTCTACAGGGTATCCTATAGGATTTTAGGGTAAAAATGTATAACTTGATTTTGACAGGACGTATAGAAAATATTCAATTCTATTTAGAAAATAAAAAGTACCTTCAAATTTGTCTTCACGATAGACCATTAATGATTGTATAAGGAAGTGCATTAATCAATGTTTATGATATGAATTTTTTAAATTTTAACTGATTGCATTCAGAGTGTATACAGTATAGGGATATATTGAAGAATAAAAATAATCAATAAGTCAATTTCGAACTGCGACCTTGTTTAAATTTGTTATCTAACGATAAGCGTTCCACGTGCTAGACTGTCAGCGGAGAAGGAGAAGTAGGTAATGTGAAGTCTGAGAAATGCGTTTGCTCACCAAGCCATTTCAGGAATTTCAGATACATCTCATTAAGCGCATGGAGTAATTTCATTTGATTCAAGATAATCCAGACACTGCATTTACTCACAAGACCGAGATATTTTCTTCTTCGTCTCTCACTGCGGCTCGATTACACTGATTAACAATTTTATCGGATTTCAATATTTCCAAGATCTCTGATCGTTGTACTCACTCCATATTCAACGATCTAGATATATAGATGCATAGCAGCGCATACGAGCAATGTTCAAGAGAAGTGAAAAGAGGAGAAAAAATATCGCAAACAAAAATTAGGGATCGCGACCCCCGTGAATCCCGAACATCGCTCCCGGGGTGGTCGATCTTTAAAAAAGTTTTGACAGGGCATAAAAAATGAGATATGCCTAAGTCGGCAAAACGTTTGGCCCAGCAGATCACTAAGGTAGGTAGATATATATATATACACACATATATGCACATTAGTACACTATGTAAGTATAACTATAGTATACGTATCTAAAAAATCGTGAGGAGCCTTTACTGATCCCTTGGTATACAGGGATGCTGCGAGTACGTTGATCCTCGCATGAGTAACCCTAAAGGTATTGTCACAATAGAGCCCCGTCTAACTTGTGTTTCTGTAGTTCTCCGGATATATTTCACGTTTCCCATATTCCACTCAGAGAGCAGAAACGCGAGAGGAGGGTTGAAGACGCGTTTATCTTTGCATTAGAGCCGCGTGTGGTCCACGATAGAGTGCTCGGTATTTCACGGAGTTATTGATAAGAATATTCCAAGATACATACAGAATGCATAGGTACTGATACACATGCGAGCGACTTCACGATAAATACTGGTAAGTATATGGAAATATTTCACTTGTATATACACAGTCTCCACGTTGTCTCTCGCATGAGATTCTCTCCTGACAGCCATTCCATCCCGGCGGAAACCACGTACGAGGATATGTGCTGGATAGAGGAATTGCGCGCCTCTGGTATGCACGGCCCTGACATGTAATTATCAATCTGCCAGGAACTTATCGGTATGATTTACCCAGCGACCTTGATAAATATATAGGTGTAGATATATTCTAGGCATTTAAGTTACTTATTTACGTAGCGTGTCAAGTGCGCAAGTTTACTCCATTATGGGGCAGGAAATTTCATGGGATCCCATATACTACTCTTCTCCATACATATCTCGTAAATAAATTCTTGTATGAAGCCGTTCCCCAAAATTGTGCCTTTGCGTTCCGGACACGGATGGTACCTTAATAAAAAAAATTCTTGTATCGTGTGAGAGACTGTACGAGTACGAAGAACGTGGTGAGATGGAAGGAAAGGTGCCGACGCTATAGGGGGTCTGACCACTGTCCACGAGACGTTTCGAGAATTGTATACTAGGGATATTTATGGCGTTCGGCCTTTGAGAGACACCCTGTACATATTACATTAATTCATGCTGGAAGTTACCCACTCAGTGATTTCATATAATTAAGTTTCTAAAGATGTAGGGTTGGATGGTTTTTGTCACACGCACAGGATGTCGAATTCATATTAGGATTTTGTGAGTGAGATCAAAGTCTGGGGAGTATTACATTTTTTTTATTCGTTATGCAGCTTCGATTAGGACACCGGGTACGTGCGAAGTGCTGATATGTATGCGTAAGTAGAGTTATGTAGGAAGAACCTAATGAACGGGCAAAAATAATGTTGGTAGTTTCTTGGGTCTGTAGGATGAAATTTGGCTATGGGGTTTTGAGACTAGTTTGATTTTTTTAATTCGATTTTTTTTTCATATGTAAGAATATCCCATGGGATTCGAAAAATGCCCTCGACATTGGTTCGACTGATTTATTTTTGACTCTGTTAGTTCTATTTTCGGGTTACGGTTTGATTTATGGAAGAAATTCTTCATTTGCAGGGGCAAACAATACGTCTAATATGGAAACGATGTAAATTTGACTTGTTTGCTTTGCTGCACTTTATATGTGGGCTTTTAGATGGTAAAAAAATAATCATCTGTTGCTGGATGATAAAATTCGAAGGCATTTATGACTTATGGGTAAGTCGTTTAAGAATGGCACTATTAAACCAGGAGAGCGAAATTAAGTAAAAGGACAAATAGAAAAATTTCGTAAAGGTATATGGTAATCTTTTACTCGAAATCGAATTCCCATAAGAAACATTACACCAGTTATTATCTTGAGATCTAAGTCTATGCTAGGGTGTTGATGGTCCTCGGTGTTTTATTAAATTCAGATAAAATAAAATTAATGGCTTCCTCCAACCCCTGTATCTCACCGTAAAGCGACGAGGAGATGACTCCAAGAATAAGTTACAATCCTGTCCTAGTAAAAAATACACCGAGCAGACATAACAACGTACGTAAAGCCGCGTAGTTTATACTTTTTTTGAAAATGCACCTGATGTCTGTTTAGTATTATAATTAAAGCTTCCTTCGTTTTTGCGCGTTTTCTGTTTGTTTTTCGTTAAATTGTAATATGTCGAGATTGGCTCTATAAAATAAAAATTGAATTTAAATTCATCCGGTATGCTTATAAAACTAAATTCTAAGCTTCTTAATTTCCGCAGGTTCAGTTCATCCGCAGGAGCGCAGTCCTCCCTCGTAGCCTATAAATCAATACAGCAACTTCCGACGAAATATATACATAAGTAGCTCCCTCACCAAAATCATAACGAGTATATCACTGTAAGGTCATTCTTATCAAAATCAGGGTGGGATCTGTGCCGCAACAGGAAAACACTGTGGTATCCAATAACTTGGTGTAAAAACCATTTCCAAAAACATTAGACCCATAATGCAGTAGTGTGCGCGGTTTAAACGGCGCAAGCCGAGATACCGTGAGAGAGATACTGTAGTGGATGACAGTAAAGGTGCAGATTGGTGCAAAGTGTTGACTGAATAACTGTACACTGAATAACTGTCATCCAATTTGTAGTCCGAATGAGGAGTTGACATTACAAAGAAGGTTAACTACGTACCTTTCGTGTCTTCAAAGCGTGAACGGTATTCAGTCTTGAGTACTTTTGTAGCAAAACGAAGGCTATCGAGCCCGTAACGAGTAATCCAGCGCTAGTTCTCCATTTAGATAAACCACTGACACGAGCACGTGTACCGTAATTGCGTGGGACATCGTGAATATTTCGCGAAAATACAGAGATTCGCCTTGACAGACTCGCCAGAGCCGCCATTGCGGTGACGTCCAGACGTGCGGGCTGCGCACGCACGACGTTCGTAGGTTCGTTCGTTTATAAATAGACTGTAAGATTTTTTGCATCCCTTACCCGTACGAAAATAACTTACAATAGTTTTGATGACACTCCAAAGAGGGTTCACCACTTGATATTACCGTGACTTTCATACATACTAGCTGAAATTTTCAGGTTGGAACCTGTTTGCACTCGTGCGCGTCAGTGCACGTGGCTTAACTTTCTACATATAGATATTACGTCATGTGATGATTCAGAAATTCAGTAAAAGGAAGTCGGACTACCTCACTCAAATGATTATCAACGACTGGAGATTATACGTGTGTGTTTAATTTTCAAAATGTGTAATAAATTCGTTAACTGTCGGCTCGATAGATGGTGCGTAAGCGTGCAAAATAAATATTAACGATATTATTACTCACGTGGTATAGGCCTTCTTGTTACTTTGGCTGTCTCGTGGCGCTGCTATTACGTAAGATCTCGGTCTGATGGGACTTGCTACTTGGCTGAGTGGCAAACAAATTTCAAAAAAGGGAACGGAACGGGATGGGAAGTTTCGTAAAAGAAGTAAAAACTGTTGCACGCTATTTGAGTAGCTGCACTTTGGAAAAAGAGTGCTTCGCTTAAATGTTACAGTGTCAATGAGCGCTATACTTCATTGATCGTCTTGAGTTTATCTTGTGATGAGAATTTATATTGAGATAAAAGCGGAGGATGATACGATGGCGCATTTGGGTACGCGAGGAATAAGAAGTAATCGAAGATCCTCCCTGTGGAATGTCTCACTTATCAAGGCTCGCATCTTCTTCGTTTCTCATCTGAATACAATGCGGAATAAATCCCCGCGATACGTATAAGGTTACCGTGTAAATAGAAAATAGAGCATGTAGAGGGACTCACCTTTTAACATATAGTACGTTATGTAACTAAATGCCGCATTGGATGCACTCGCCTGCATCTTGGCGTTCAAGACAACGCTGAAAAAACTGTGTAAAAATAATATGGTAACTGTGTCCTCAGGTAAATATTTAATATTGATATATAAACTTTTAATTATGCAAATACCGGCTAATGATTTGAGAGTTCAAAGCCGCCAGTAAAATGAAGAAAAAAAAATTGTATATATAATTCAATATACAGTGGCGCTTCGATAATTCGAATTTTAAGGGAAACAAAATATGCTTGGAGTTATCGTAGTTTCGATCTATCGGGGTTTTTCAGTTATAGAATCGAAGCATTAGAAAATTCGAAAAACCATAGTCTTATAGAGATATATGACTTATAGAAGTTTGAGTTATCAAAGTCCTACTGTATATATCTAACGTATTTTAGAATTAGAAACGCATTATAATAATGTTTAGTTTAAATAAAAATGACTTATAGTACGTACATATTTGAATTGATCCAGTTTTTGTATACTTGCCGTTTTAGACAATTGCTTACACATATAAATTTATCAGATTTATCACGCGTCTAAGGTCTTCTAATATTATCAGTTAATTCTTGGAAGTGTTTAGCAAGAAAACTTTAAGTACACTTCGTGGTATTACTGTAAGAAGTTTTAACGACTCTAGTAAAGAAAAAATAAGTTGTACTCTGAAACACGACTTGGTACGCAAACGGTGTTGTTTTCGGGGCGAGTAAAAAAATAGAAAAAATCATTTGACTCCATTTAGAAGGCTAACATACCGCAGCTGCCATCGGCCTGAAACTCTTAAACGTTCAAAGAGATCTAGAACATTACGTGATACACGGATGCGTCGCACTTTTCAAGACCACCGCAGTGCGTCGGCCGAGGACATCGCAACCCTATCGAGTTCTCGCATCTTTCGCTTATTTGAATAATTGAAAATTATCTCTCCAGCGCTGTCACGCGCCGCCCAGCATCCGAGATGGTACAGTCGAGACGAGACTTTATACTTGACTTTGCTCGACTTGAGGCAGATCTTGTCACTCGAATTGTTACATTATAATATAATAGCATGCCAGTCCTCTTTCACTTTAAAGAGGGGCAATTCTAAATTTAAAAAAATGTTAAACCATTTCAAGGATGGTAAGTGGGTAAAGCGAAGGGAGAAATCTACCTTAGATGCAATCGCTTGACTTTTTCATGACAAGTAATTTTAACTGCCCGGAAAAAGATTTAAAAAATATAATACAATTAATTACATAAATTTTTAATTACAAAATATAATTTTTTAAATATAGTACAAAATTGTTTTTGTATTATTATATACCACTAGTAACTAATTTGCATTGGTGTTACATAACTCTTATAAGCGTTATACTATACGAGCGTTGTCCTCACTTTGAATTAGTGCTGGGTCATCATTTGATCTTGACACGTGTAATTGAGCCATGAGTGAATCCAACGATGCGAAATACGTCCTTTGATGAAAATTAATCTCAACGTTGTTAAGACGCCTCTGGGCTTTCTCTAAAGAAAGCGAGCGACATTCGTGTGAAGTTCACGTAGAGATGCAGTCAGTCGCGACCAATTTCACATAATTGAAGTGACACCTTATCTATCAGTACGATCGACAATACAAATTGAATCGTTTTACACGTAGACGATTCACTTATAATTTTTAATCCAGAATAATTTCTAAACTCTTCTCATTTAAGAGAATAAAAAGTGATAAGAGATACTCAAAGAAATTCCTTATATCAAACGTAAAAAAAAAATAAAACTCTCGTGTTTAGTATTATACCGATAATGAAAATGAAAAATACATAACAATGTATTCCACTATTATAGTAACAAGAATAGAATTATTCTAATCCAATTTCTAATCGTGAGAATAAAATTTCAAAATTTCTCTGTACTGCAATCTATCAATACAGTTATCACGTAATAATATATAACAGCATCCCTATATCCAAGAGCCATTCTACCGATGAAAATCCGTCGTGCAGTACCTGTAATTGATGATATCGCAACTAGTCGGCAGTCACGCGAGATAAATGACCGTACTAGGATACTGATGAACGAACAGCACCCAGAGTGATTGATTTCACGCGATACCCTCAGCATGGAAAACACTAGTGTGTTTAAATATACATTTAGTAGAGTAGAAGCTACCTATAGTTACCTACCTGTCCATGCATACGTATACACATATGTATCTATACACGTGATACAAGAAGCCATATGGTTTGCCGTAACGAATGCAGGCAAGTCACTTCGTCAGTCATTTTCCTGAGTGACTTCGTCAGTCATTTAGGCGTTCACATAGAATAATGTCGAAGCGTGCCTATGCTCGGTGGTCCTCGTTCACGGAATGACAGAAGGACTTTCCACGATGATTCGTCCCGGTGACTGGGCAGGAATCACCTGGACCACCTCACCGCTAGATGAAATCTACTCTAAACTTTGGTGTGAGATTAGGGTGACTTCGGCTGATTTCATCCTGGTTAGGTTTACTGGTAGGGCGGCGGCTCTTTGAGTTTTTCTAGGAGAATAAAAAAAGGTATAAAAATTTCTTAAAAAATAAATATCCTGTCCTGTTCGTGGATCTGGAATTTTAATTTGTTATGATTGTTGATATCGTTGATAAGAAGTTTGACTTGATTATTTTTGTGGAATCAGGAAAATTTTAAATATTATGTAGAGTGTATAAGTACCGGAATTATATAATCCAATTAAAGTATTTTACTGATAACTGTGCTGTGCTGTGATTATTCGTATGCAAATGATAGCTTGATAGGAGCATGTATATAATTTTTAATATAATTTCCAGCGGCATGACTATCTGCGCGATGTCGACGTTATGTGCAAACTAAAGATTTCATTGGATGATTAAACGACGCCATGGGCGAACGTTACACAGGACCGACAAACAATATTCGACCGTATCAGACCACTCTGAATATATAAAGTGATAGTTATCGCACCAAGAGCGTAGCTACCGTTGATTTGCTATTTTATATTCCTTGAATAGGTTATCTTTATATTCTTTTTTTTTGTCTGATATAAAAAAGTCCGTAACTGATATAACAAAAAAGGTCAGTGGCGCCCACACAATTTTATTATCTAGAAAAATGATTAATTGCAAAATTTAATCTGGCATACTTAATTTAACGTATTAAAATAAAATTCATTTATTTTTTCAACTTTTTTTCATATCACAAAATTTCAGGTAGAAATTTTGTTCTGTATGAAAAGTCTAAAACGAAAATGCTATGTATAATAAACAGGCGTACCGTTCATGATCGTACAATGAAATTAGATTTGCAAATATTCAAGTGTATCACAAAGTTGTTATTGTTATGTACAAGATAATTTTGAATTGTATCTTGGTTACGGACACGAATGACTAATTTAATTAATACAATCGTGACAGCTCTATTTACACAATAGACATTATCGAAATTGGTGAAACGTATGAGCAAGCAAACGTATGTGTATATACGTAATGGCAAGTTTGACAGTGACGCAGGCATACGCGTGGACTACGCCAATGAATTTATAGAGAGCGGTATAATTTTTCGATGGTACACATGCGTAACGGCACGTACACTCTGCATACGTAACGTCACTTTGTGACGTCGGGCAAGGTCGCGAGATTTGCCAGGCTGTAGGGGACGGCGTTCGCAAAAATAGAATTTCGCGTAGGAAATTTCTTTCGCGTCTACGACAATCACTGTGGGACGTTTGAATACCAAGAGGCCAGGATAGGGTATCGCGTTGCCTTCTCGAGTTTCTTTACGTTCACGAGCGTAAAGGACGGAACCGGGGCCGATCGTTTGCTGGGCTGTCGGGTCGATCGATTCGCAAGTCGCCAATGACATCAGACGCAAAACTTAATCGGATGAGACTAATAAATTCGCGAGAGCGAAATTTTGCAAGGGATACTTCTGTCGCGTTGGTATACGATTGGTTCTTCGTCTGGGGACGTTGAACTGCATTCAAGGTCCCGTGTAACAGCATTGCGGATATATACCGAATAATTATATACATAAGTAACGTTATATATTTAGTACCAAAATGGTACACACTTGATATAGATATGATTAATTAGAAATCATTGATTATCTATTATTAGAATTTTAACTGAACAGGAAACGAAGTGAAAATGAAAATTTTCTTTGATCAATTGACTCCTGCAAAATATTTAACTGATTATATATGTAAACTTCTTATCATATCCAGTAGGTACTGATTTGATTGAATTTCATGTCATTGGGACAATTTGGTAATCGAACGGATGTGATAAATTAGAGAAAGATGGGTGAGAATGAAGCACATTGTTTCGTGATATTCAATAATAATTCGTTTATTATTCCTAGAAATTATATGGCGACGATGTGGAGGGGTCTTTGATAGGGAGCTGGTCGATGATCGATGGGAAAGGATGGGACTTTCCGAGGAATTGTATACTGGCTCGCTTGTCAATTTTTATCAATTTCGATTTTTCTTTTTAAATAAAAAACCAAGTAGTCCATCGCTTCCTCGGTATTCAATTATTTGTTACAGAGTATGCATGTACGCAGTCGTTATGCAATTTGCATAAACAACGTTAATCATATATTGTCGCAGGTCTTTTCCTTTCTTATACTATTTTTTTTTTTACTCTGATATGTTTTTCTTCTCTAGCGTTTTTGGGATACGTTTTCGAAATGTTTGTGGTAGGGTAACACACGAAGTAGGGGACAGATGGGGTATGCAATTACAAAGGTAATATACGATGACTTTACGTGGCGTTTTTTTTTCTTTTTTGATAATATCACAAAACAGCATTGAACATGGGCGGATGCTTGGTTTGAAAAAAAAGAAGGAACGATGAAATTCGAAAAAGTAAGACGGTTCATCTCTAACTTCGAAATGTGTCAGAGCGTCTTGTATAGCATAGCCTTTTTTCTCCTGTTTTATCAATTTCTAATTAGTTACATTTCTAACTTTAATAGTTTCAGTCTATGAATTTAAATACAATGTCAAAATGGCAGTACAGCACTCGTTTACTTCTTTTCGACATTACGTCCTTGTGGATCGTAGACGTTTCTGTGCTCTGGCGATGAATTCACATTTCGCATTTTTGACCTTAAAATTCGCAATTGAAAATTATACGACGAATTTTCAAAACGTAATTACCAAATTACGTTAATCTTGTTAATACTGATGACGCTTATCCATACTACTTTTTTATAATCGTTTGATATTTGCCGTCCCTCTTTGTTTCCTGATAATACCACAAAAAGTACAAGGTGCCTCGAATAAAAAAAAAAAAAAAAAAAATACATTCGTACTCCAAACATACGATCATTAGATATTTAATAAGTTTTAAATTTCTAGGAAAGAAAAAAACCAAACAAAAATATGTTAAAAATTTTTAAGTAAACTTGTCGAAAAAAAAGACGGGTGAAAATTGCGCGGCAAAATATGGCTCGATTGTTTGAAATTAGAAAAATTGAAAATTTAATTTTGTTTTTTTTTTCACCTAAATTTTCTAATACCTTTTTTCTCTCCATAACACACGCCATCCTACAGACGTGCGTTGACGCACCTTACAAGCACAGAAACGCCTTTACAGTACACTTAATACACTTTAGAGTATTTGCCTTTTAACCGTACAGCCTACGACAGTCGTCTTTTACTTCTACAGCTGCTTTGAGTCGTTCGCGAACTCATTCACCAAAGTACGCATACATAAAAGAAATTCTAATAATTCGGAATTCGCCAAAAATCCATAAATCTCAGCGGCCACTTTGCAACTCGTTGCTAGGATTAGAAGCTACGGCCGAGCGTAAACGGCCCGAGGCATTTTTGGCAAATTCGTGTACCTAAAAACAGACACAATGCGAAAGAACATAGAATTCAATGCAGATGATCGATGAGTGATGATCGTAATTTATTTTTTTATGTACACGGAGTCGGTTGCTTTTCTTTTTTCAATAATAAATAATTCGTTAAATCGTTCAATAAATAGGCTACTAGATTAATAGTTTGCTTACCCCGCGTGGCGACGCGGTATGGATGATCTTCGGACATCAACAGATTGGAAGATCGTTATTTATATCGTTACAATAGGAGCATTCGAGGATGATGGAAAACAGAAGTAAAATGAGAGGAAACGTACAGTTTACATAGACCTGTTATCAGGCAGTATGTCTTCAATGTCAGAAAAAGCGATAACAAAGTCAGTTTAGAAAATGCATAAATCGTGAATCGGCAATCGTATGAAATTCTTATGGAAGAATATTATAGATGTCGACCCGATGTATAAATTCAATGGATATAAGGATAGAGAAAATCCAGACACGTTTGAATACTGACAAGCATCCCGCCATTGAAAATCTACGTCAATGCTATTTATATAAGGTGTATGCTTTTTACGTCAATACTCAAAGGTCCATTTACAGAAATGCGATTGATTGCAGGCTGCCATCATTACCATCGTGAAAAACCTTTTTATTTATTTTTTTTTCATTTTCTGACAAGTCTGAATGTTACTGGCAGTAAGTACTAGATGGTCGCGGCAAAAGTATCAGCAAAGATAATAGCATCAGCAATAGTAGATAGAGGATATCATTGAAGGAGCATTAGTTCTGTACGCAATGAGCGATATGTCTGAGAAATAAATATAGTGCGTGAGCGACATATGAAATGTAACGTTTTGTGGCGAATGACGAGCGACAAATGAACGACATTGATACACATGAATGCAACCGATCTAAGATAAATTTGACTATCGGCGCGCAAGGCGAATTTGCAATCTAATGAGAATAATAGATAGAGTATTAGGTAAGACCTAGCAATGATGATATTACAGCATCGATTCCTTTTGGCATTATTGTCTTGACCAGTGCATTCCTCGCATGCTACAATACCCTTGATCCTTATACCTAGATGGGTGATGGTTTTGGAGGAGGTGCTCTCTACCGGTAAGGATGGGACATGGATCGTCATCAGAATATGCGATAAAAGGACTTGAGCGCGATCGGCATACCATGGTAAGCATTTTGCATATTTACAATGTGAGTGGGTGGCTGGGTGGTCAGTTTGGGTGCATCCCATCATGGGTTCTCATTTCCTCATTACATCATTCTCTCATTCTCCCCTTCCCGTACACACTCTACATCGTTCATTCTCATTCGGCGCCTCATTCATTCTCCCGACTCTCACTCTCATTGTCTGACATACTGCACTCTCGGCACGCACTCTTTGCCAGATGCATTCTGTCGTTCTGAAAAGGTGAATGAAGCGAGTCGTGTGAATACGAGCATCCTCAAACATGCTACAGGCTGTTCCTTACATGGCCAGTCTCTCCGGGGGGAATGGCGTTCGAATGGCTTCATCCCTCTTCGCAGTTTCGGCTAAGCTCAACATCAGAGGGGTGTTAGGGTAACTGTAGTCGTCGTATCCGTCGGTGGAGTCCAAGTCAGGAGTAGGACTGGTCGAGTCAACTAGGAGGGTCATGAGGTCCTCATCGGAAACGGGGAAATCGGATGAAGGGTCGTCACCGTTTTCCGTCGCAGATTCCAAGAAGGTAGTATAGTCGGGATGATCGTAAGGAAGCTCTGTGGTCGAGGCTAGGATCGTCTGGTCATCCGTATTTTCTTGGTCTGTGGTAAGGACGGGGGTTTGGACAGTCGTCCTCAAGGATTTACGTCGATTGAGGCCTAAGTATTTTCCTCGACGTGAATCCGGGTTCTGTTTGAGTTTAGTCGAGGGTTCCGTCACGTCGTTTAACGGGGATGGTGTTTTCAATCTTCTTCTAGGGAAAGCATCGTCCCCCGTTGATGGAGTTGTTGACACACCATGATACCAGGACAAGGGTGACATCATTGAGCCAGAGCCTATGGGCAGCGTTGTTCTGGTGACCCTGCCAGATCCTTTCTTCCTGATGGCCACATGAGAAGAGTTCCTCTTCGGTCCTACACCCTTTCTCTTTCCATTTATTCCGTTAGGCTTTTTCTGCCCGTCGCCCGCGCCATTTGTTTTTTTCGAGTTTGGAGATTTCTTACCCTTGGGACCTTTGCGCTGCTGCTGATGACGAGCGGCCGCGCGGCCGACCATGCCATCCGTAGCCACGTTCTCCTCTATCCGCGACTTCCTCTTCTTCGACGGTGTGTTAAGCGCCTGTCTTCTGCAGGCTTCCTCGCTGGCTGCGCCCTCGCACGATCTCTTCGACTGTGGCGGACCCTCGCCGCTACCGGAGTTATTATCATAGTAACTATCTGCAGGAACTTCGCACTGTGGTCCGGGTGTCTCGCCCTCCCTACATCTTCTCTTTTTCTTCTTCCGCTTCTTTCGCTTCCTGCACCTGAACCTGTCCCTGCCGTCTTTCTCTTGTGGCGGCAGCGGCGGGCACAGTGCCTGCTGCTGAAGATTGTGAAGACGATGGACGTTGTGCTGATGTCGAATATTGTGATGAGCGCCCATCATCCTCTTCTGCAAGGCGTCTACCCGTTCGGGTAGCGCAACCTGGGTAAGTACTCTCGCATAGGCCGACAGTCTTCCCAGGTTATGACCTCGCGCCTGAACTCTTCTGGGCTGTCCACGTCGGTTCAGCCCAAGGTACAGCGTCTTTCGCGGCGTCGACCACCGCACCGAGCTGTACGTGTTGTAGTTGTGCTGCTCCAAGGTCTCGTTGAACACGCAGTCTTCCGTGTATTCGCGCTGCAACAGAAAAATCGAGAAGCGTTTATACATGACTGCATCCTCCTGCACATGTTTCGCGGGAATATAAATTTTATTTATCAATGCTTACTTGTCACCTCGCGATTATTATTATTATTATGGGATTGGTATTCGCGTCGGGTCGTCCAACATACTCGACCGTACCTCGCAAGGACTTTAGTGCTCAGCCAATAGATATACAAAGTTAACTACGTAACCCAGTAGCACTATGGCTGCTTAACTACCCATGAACTTTTAGCTAAACGCTTTTTGCGAAGATTATTCTTCGCGAAAATATTTAGCACTCTTGGATCATTTGGCTGTGCTTTATCTCGTACGAACATGCTACTTCGAGGAAGCAGCACAGCGGGTCCACGAAGCAGCGGGACGTCGAGGAGACAGCAGATGGGATACGTGAGCTAATCGCTCTGCTTCCTTCGGGGAGTCCACGCGGACTATCTTCGTATAACCCCGAATCGTTTAATGCTTTATTAATTCCTCGAAATTATAGACCATTTGTCCTGTCCATGATTATCATCGAATTACCGACCCTCTTGATGAGACCCCTAAATCAGTTTTTATTGTTTCGGAATAATTTGTCGTATTCTTAAAATTGAAAAAAAAAATGTAATCTTTATACACTTGTATCATTATCAAGTATTTTGAACTGTTCTAGGGTTTGACGAAGTCCTAATGATTTCGGTGTACCCTGTGTATGCTTTCATAATACTTTTCAGGGAGTGTAGGAGATAGTACGATTTCATGAATGCGTACACTATACTCGGCTTTAAGGCTGGGAAGGAATGTCGCTTGCTCTAATACGGAACTGGGCGCGACGTCGACGTAGACGTGACGTAACGGTCTAGAGGACGTAGAAATATAGAGCGCGTGCGAGCTTTCCGTGGTGCTTTTGCTCTCTCTGACTCACGAGGCCAGAATCCTCAACTATATATATAGAACGCAGTGCCGAGAGAAGATCTGTCGAACTAAGATGCGCGTGAAAAACATTGAGTCTGTCGTGAACTTTTCGATGGGAATATTCTCTATTCTTTACTAGACGCAGAAAGTCCGAGTTTACTTTTCCTACTTCTCTGGTTTGTCTGTAAAAGATTGTACCTCGATAACGAAGGGAGAAGGGGATTAATACCTTTTAGAAATAGTTTATTAATTAGGATCGATTTTTACGGAATGATATAAAAAGAAATCGTCGTCAGTGCTTGCTACAACGATCTAGATCTCTAGCAGCGGGCTACACCTCAAGTTTATAAATACAATTAGTCCGCGACGTATAATTGAAGTCGAGGATACATTTGGTAATAAGAGAGGAATCTTTAATAAAAAGTTTCCTCTCTATCGACCTTGCGTGACAATTTTCAAGCGTGCTCTTTCTCTTTAAATAAATTTGTCAAGTCATTAATAGGCTGATGTATTAATGACTAAAAGACAAAAAATTATCATTTCCTGTCACTATTTCTCTTTCTCCAAATATAGTATTTCTTATTAATTTCTTTAAAACTTATTAATCACCTACAAAGGCGGACGAAGATATCAAAGTAGCGCCTGTCGTTTATCTCTCGGTGAAAACAGTGAAAGTCATTGGGACTGAGGCAATTCGTTTATCGAGGGCAATTATCATAACATTGACCCATGAATTAGGTCAAAACCTGGAAACAAATGGTATGCTCTGTCTTGAAGTAGAACCAGCAAATAATCAACGTAGCCCCGAACACGTCTCCTTAAAGATATACGACTTGGACCAAAACTGGGATACTCAATACGCATTCCGAGGTCATTGATATACCACGTAAAGATGCAACGACATTTTCGTTGCTAGTGGAATGATCAAATTTTATAAAAAATTATTAGCATTTCAGGTTAATATACTGATAAGGGTTCTGCATCGTTCGGTCAACTTGTCTCTAGACATTTCAATAAAAATTCATTAATTCCTCCTAGACATTAATAGCTGCGTTCATTGAACCAAGGATCGCATTACTACACAATTCGTTCACGTAACAACGACAATCTTCCTCGTGTGTATATAACGCATATGGTGAATATATATATATGTACATGTACGTAACATAGCAAGTAGTGCATGTGTTTACGTCACATATGTGCACCCTTACGAGGATAAAGCGCCAACTACGTAACTTCCTAATGAGTCTCTTCCTCTGTCACACGGACTTCAATCGCGCTGCGCGTGTAACTATCGGTCATTTACGTACGCGTTCATATATGCATTTGGACGCTCACACGATCTTGACTCAGTATAGTATCAAGCATTGGCTGACCGGACAGTTCACATGAAGTCAAAGTCAATTGGCACCCTATATATGATACTATAGGAAATAAACGCATATGTACATATATGACTTGTGGATTTGTTATAATTTTAGGGTGAAGGTAAATCGTTGGATAATTTCCTCCTAGGGTATTTTTAGGATTCTTCACTGGCGCAATTGATACTGACATTTGACTAAATAGCTTCCAAGTATTAGACACTGATGAGTGCAGCTATTGTTTTACTTGGTCCGAAGCGAACAGAGAAATGTACTTTGAAATGTTTTTCAAATTCTGGTTTTCTCTCTGTTACTTTTTGGTTTTCGACGAGGGCGAGTCATTTGATAAACATCGTTAACGTTAAGTTTCCTTAGCGGTTGTTACGAGCAATTCCTTTTACTTGAGATACGACTATTTTCTCTTCTCTCGTCTCCGTAAACGTTATCACGTGATTCTTCGTTTTCTTTCTCGTTCTCGAGCCTCTTTCATTTCCGTAGCGACTGGAATGTTATACACGTATACATATAGATATGGTGGTGTATCTTATAAACGACAAGCCACTTCAAAATATACTGCAGGTTAATCGAATAGAGATGTGATTTTAAAGTAAATCGTTATATCTTATACATATTCTTGGAATGCCGGAAGTATAGTGATTGTTTGGAGTTAATTATTAATGCTGATTCATGACAGAATCGAGAGAGTTAAGAATTGACACATCATTTTGTCCACCATACTGGTTTTTACTGCGCCAGTCATTTCACGTCTGCCATTTCATCGACGTAAATATTAATCTTACGTTATGAGTGCGTTTTTCAAGATTTTGCCTTTACGTCAACAAATACCAGAAATACGCACAAGAACATTTAGCGTATATGCATTATCTGTTACTCGTAATTGACATCTGTCATACGATCGATTTATTTTACATTTATAGTAAAACAAGAATATATTTTTTCGCTGATCGTTGGCCAGTTTCCAAATTGTTCATCATATTCATCATTACTAACTTTTAATCTGTATAATTCAATTCATCGGTGGACCATATTTTTTAGACACAGTATAGCTATATTAATAGTTCTATTAAAATAGGTGTAGAAGTGTTAAACGAAGACATATGGTAATTATTCGTTATAGGAACTGAATAATTTTAAAGACTCCGTTATTGTTTATTGCACAATATTCTCCCATGTAGATCATAAGCACGTGTACCTAGTGCAAGGAAGTTCATTTTAACGAAAAAAAAGTAGCTCCATCGTTTAAGGAATTTCAAATGTTTCGGCGACCCGCCGATTAACGTGCTAGAGCATGGAGGTTGTGACCTCTGTAGTTTGGTCGTTCAGCGATCGCGAGCTTACAATCGTCCTCGTCGTCGTTAATTCGATCTCCCCACGTCCAGCTCGATGATCGTAATCAGGATGAGTCGTAAGATGGCAATCAGCTGTGACAAGAAATGACAGTCAATGCACTAGGGCAACGACCGCAGTTTTCGTATAGCGCGTTTGTTTGCAGATCGCGAGAGTTTAATCGGCCAATGAATTTAATGATTGCATAAATTTTCTCTCGTGAGTATAATATTGATTTGTAACTAGTCTAAAGGAATCCGCGACACGTGACTGGGATTTATACACGCACGCCTTTTCTTATCGTAGTAGAAAATCGTTTCAATTAAGTTTCAATTAAATCGCGTAATTTCTCTTAATGATCGGTCGGTCGATTACTACGACTTACTTCTATGACTTAACCTGAACTCGTTTGGGTTTGTTTTTCTCCATTTCCGTTATCCGTCAAGTAACAGCTTCATACGTGCTACTATGTGCCATTTGGATTCTGCGCGCGATGCGTAAAGACAATACAGCTTTTATGAAGCAGGTATGTACTGAATAAAACCAGAACAGTCATCCTCGTGAATTTATTAGACACGTCGTGCCTGTGCCAATGTCTCTCGCAGAGTGCATGCGTTCTATTCTAGTCTGGTACAATTATGTCGTCTAGGCTCCATGCATCCGCTACTATATTAACTAGACTCCCATAGACAATTTCTAGACGCACTGTCTGTATGTATATAACAGGGTATGCTTATTGGCACATACGTATGCACAATTATTAATTGAAAATTTGTTTTACCATGCATGGAAATGTACTTCGTGTTTTGTCAATTAATCGAATGACCGTCTTCAAGTAAAAAAATGGCCACTCTGTTCTTCGTTTCGCTAATTCATAGGTTACTGACTGTTTCTGATTTTTATTGCTGCTCGTTATTATTCGAGCGAATTACAAATGATGAACCCAATGGCGAATGTTATACTTCTATGGTTCACTTGATGACTGTCAAGCATGAGAAATTACCATTGCTATATTTCATCGATGATTGCTGTCTAGGATAGGCCGAATGCTCGAGAGACTCTCAAAGTGACTTCAGACAACTGTAGTCCATATAACGGTTAGCATTGTTCTAAGATCTTACGAGGGTACGGGCTATCTCGGTTTTGATAGTTGACATTAACGCTACATATTGGGGAAAATAAAATATGAGATTGTTTATTGTGGTAATAATAATAGGCAGTGGTATCAACAGCTACTGGATGGAAATATAATCAGTGGTAATGTTGATGCGTTTCATGCGGTATGAGACGTTATTTTTGGCCGAGTGAAGCATGAGTTTTGATAAAAATTAATTTTTTACCCGACTACGATAAAATGATGATATTCCATCC